CTGAGCATCTTTCTCTTTGACACCATGTCTGATATCCCACGTGATCTGTCAAATACTAATGCATGAAAATCCTAACCTCAAAAAAATCACCCGATACTTGCTTCAAAGTACTTTCTAGCAAATTCGATAAAATCTTGTGATGGGGTGAAAAAGCTGGCAATGTCCACAGTTCGGTGCCCTACTGGACAAGCGCTAACCTGAACAGCTCTCCACACAAATGTTGTAAAAACTTTCTTTTCTAACTCCGTGGAAGAAGAAACGTTTTGCCCTCAAGGCATAACAATAGTTAGTGACACGCAGATAATAAATGATGCTGCGGTTCGGCAACATTAAAGCAAGAGGGAGCGATGGCATACCAAATCGGATTCTTAAGATTGCAGTGCAGCACAGCCAAAAATGCTTCAGACCAGTTAAAACAGCGGGAGCACTTAGCCAAAGTAAAAGATCTAAGAAACAACACTGGTTTCGCGGGAAGCGCTCTAATATCGACGAAATAAAAAAGCTGACTGGAATTGCAAAAACAGCTATTGAAGGTACAAGGTGGATGCAAGGATTTAAGAAAGACTCCGCACTCATCACTTTTGATGTGAAAATACACTTAGCTCGGCGCACTTGCCTCACATAATACGCGCTTTAAAAAAATTAAAATCCCCTGCGTATTCACTGGAGATATTTAAGAGCTATCTGTTGGATATTCTACTATTATATCAAATAGATTAAAGGGTCAAAAGTCATATGTAACTGGTAGAGTGCTACAAGGATTCGTGTTGGAACCACTGCTACGGAATATTCTCATTGAGGGAATATTGGGTCTCCATCTGTAGAAAGAAACGAAAATAATACGATATGCGAATGAAACTCCTGTGACAATTGATGCTAAAGATTTGAATCAAATGCAAAACATATGTGCAGCTACAGCCCAAGCAAATTAAAAACAGGTCAGATATCTAAATTCCATCTAGCGGGTCAGAAACCCGGAGCAGTACCACTACTCAGAACTATTAAAACACCGACTGCACTAATAATTTTGGTCTTATCGCAAATTATAGCCTAAATAGGTGGTCCAAATCAAACAAGAAAGTTTCTTTTGGCAAAAAAACCAAGCGATATATTGTGTTTTATTCGGCATCTCTATGATAATTTATGTTAACTCATAAAGTACACACAATAGAAAATACGCCGCTCAGGCTAAGGTCCAGTAGCCAGTGATTTCAGCATATTGGCTTTCGATAACACCTTCACACATTCAAATAACGTTATTATCACTCATCAGTAATAAAACTAAATGTATGTGTCGACGTGTAAATACCCTGCAAAAAATGCGACTAGTCCGGGATGTGTCCGGAATTAGTCGCAAAGGAACATGCGACTAATCCCACTTTACATCTCTTTGTATGGACTGAACTGTTCCCTTTTGTTCGAGCATGTCCTATGAAGAGACTAATTGTACCCATTTATACCCAAATGGGTATAAAAAGGGACTAGTCGCTTTGTAGGTCGCAATGGTAGCAGAATGAGACCAGTCGTTATAAAACCTCTAAAAATCCCTATAACAATCAACATAAATTTTATCCGAAGCCTTCGTTTTAAAATATGTATTTTTATTTAATTGACTTTAAACACTTTAAATACAGCTTCTCTAACATAAATCTGACAAATCAAAATTTTTACAAAACTCATGAAAGAAATTATCATCAAAATTTAAAAAAATGTATCTTAAAAAAAATCGTTTACGCAGTTTTGTACTCCACTCAAAAAGTTCGCGTTGATTTCTTGCTTTCATATAACGCGTGAACAAAATTTATTCTTTAAGAAAAAAAAACGGAATAAAATGGGCTACAAACTTTTAGGAGAATATTTCTTGTGAGTTTTTAGCTGCGAAAATTTTAAAATAAATATTCGTTCTGGTTTCTTTACGAGTTTTATAAATCACATTTTTTAAATAATTTTATAATAAAAACTAAAAAAGAAAAATTCAGTCCAGAAATAAGAGGGGTAGTAGTTTAAGATGCAGAATTTTTCTTTTTTGTCGATAAGCTTTCTTAAAGCATTTAGCTTTTTCGAAAGCAATGGCTTTGCGCAGCGCGTCCTCCGGCGACAATCCCTTAAATGGTAATTTGGCAATGGCTCCTAAATGAAAAGAAGATTTAATTTAACTTGAAATAAAAACATACATATGTGTAAAACAATGGTATGGAATATTTATCTTACCAGTCAATGAAGCATAAAAATTTGGGAAAGATTTTAAGCTTATCTTTCCATGTGAACCATCCACGTTYATTGACGCTATGACGTCMTTATTTAACARCAGCCTTATATTTCTGASATTGTTGCATAAAATAGCAGACATCGCAGATTCCTATAAAATATGTTTAAATAATATTTGTAAACTGAGCTATGATATAAATCTATATATCAAATTAACTTACATATACATCTCTGTTAGTAGGGGTAATTTTTTCCTCCAACTGATGCATTTCTGGGACGTCACTTATTGGGAAATATTTTGTGATGGGTGCATTTTTTGATTCTTGGCGAATCAATTGCTCAGTCGCCACCTTTTGGACCGCTATTGCATCCATTATAGCAGTATTCTGTGCTTCGACTATCAATTGCAGGTCGTCTAATTTTTTGCCAATATCCTGTAACTGCTTTTCAAACGTGTTGCAGTGGCTGCAGCAAACAACTTCAAACACGCCTTGGTTGGATTCTAAAACAATAAATTTAAATGGTATATTTAGTGGCYGACGTTGAAACGCTGATCCCACGTGATTCTAAAAATTAAGGCATTTTAAGTGTAATAGTAGTTTTCTAAATACATTTTCGAAGATGTCTTCACCTATAGTGCATTCACTGKATACACTAATGTTTTGTCCAAGGTGGGCAGTGTCAATGCCATCTGTAAAGCAAAGTTTGTTTTAAGTTTTTATGAATTACGGATTATAATTGTTAAATGATGAATACCTACATTTTGCCTTTTTCATTGGAATTGCTGTGGTCGACGTTTTGGGATTTGGTGCTCCATATTTTTTGAAATGCTCAAGAAAAAAAGAAAAATTAGTAATTGTTTCCATAAAAAAAATGATAAAAAATTAACTATTACAATAAACGAAGGTTACATGCAAGTATGTAATATTGGAATAAGAAGGGATACACATTAATATATACTCTACATCATCCAGAGAAAACTCCTCTATATCAGATGACAGAATATGGTCCGCAGTACATATTCCCATAGTATACGAATCAATGGGCTCTGYGAAATAGCTTTCTAGGTGTAAAAATCTCTTTCCTTTGATAACTTTGCTGTTAATGTCTTTAAATTCCTCAATTCTTATGTACTGAAATGGTTTTACGGAACAGTAACTATTTGGGCTTTTATTAGATAACAWAAATTCTTTAAAATTAAAACTCACTATAATGTTATTTTTTATTTTAAAACCAGTAAATTTTGGGGCCACCACAATTTCTTCATGTTTCATCATATTATGTATTTGTTGTAATATTTGTGTCGGTTTTTTCACATATGACTTCAAAATTTGTAAGTGGTTTTCAAAGGAATATGCAGAGTAACTCGATGGAATACCTAGCTCTTTAACGTCTTCTGAAATATGAAGAAGGGAGTGTACATTGCACGAAATACTGTTTTCCCCAAACACAACAGCAAAATTTTCCACGAATAACTTTAACATATTTCCCGCTACATCAATGTTAGAGTTATAGTTTTTTGGGCAGAATAATAACCTACACGCGCAATGCAATAGGAGGAATTCATAATATACATCACCCGGAAGCTCATCTTTGAGGACATAAATTCCATAATAAAAAAGAAACATGCAGAACTCAATCGCTTTCCAATTCGCTATTTCATCTACAGTTCTTGGTTTACGAACAAATTCCCTGGTGATGTACGAAGATAACGCTACTATTTTTTTGGATAAATACAATTTAGTTTCTTTTTTAAATTTGTAATTTGATTTATTATTTATTACTCGTAAAATAAACTTTCGCATGWCCCCTAAATCGATTAAATGCATAACATCAAGAGGAACTTGAGAGATCATGTTAATATTAATTTTTTCCAGTGGAGATAAATTCTCTTTGAAAAGAGA